TGTTCTAGAAGAAGCTAAGTGGATCTGTTTGTTTACCTGAAACCCCCGAAGTAGCCAGGTAAGTAGGCCTGAGTGGTTTGGCATCCAGAAGCCTAGATAAGCAGAGGAAGCTTCCTGGTCTACATCCAAATCTTCAAGGGAATGAGCAGAGCAATTCTTTGAGCCCTGCCTATCTTCCCAGGGTCATAAGAAATAGTTTGTTCTTGGGAGATTGGCTTGTGGGGACACTTGGTCCTGCTTATTCTCAGTTCTAGTTAGCAGCTGGTAGACATCTGTGATAGTGTTAATTGTGAGCTTGGCAGAATCTAGAATCACCTGAAACATAGTCCACTGAAGATGCCTGTGGGGCATTATCTTGCCTGTGTTAATTGTGCTGGGGATTCCCACCCTCTGTGGGTGTTACCATCCCTTTGTTGGGATTCTGAACCTTATAAGCAGAGGAAAAGTGAGCAGAGTAACAGCATGCATTCATTGCTATCTTTTCATGGTAGATGTCATCCGACCAGGTACTTTCAGTTCTTGCTGCCTTGACTTCTTCACCATGATAGGGGTGCCTTGACCTGTGAGCTAAATTAAACCCTTCTTGCTCCTGTCAGGATTTTTTTTTTTAAATTACAGCAACAGAAGAAGAACTAAGAGACCAAAAAATGCCTTTTCCTGTTGGTGTAGCCTTCAGACACTGGCAGGCCTTCCACCCTGCTTCTGAGAGACAGCGAGCGATACATGAACTATTTGGACCCACCAAAGTCTTTTACTCTTGTACAACCTACAGAAACTGATGGGTGTAGCACACCTGCAGTTGGACATACCATACCTAGTACTCCAGGGAACATGCCTTGCTGACAGAGCTGTGTACCAATCTGCACTACAATTACAAATCCCAGCAGTCTAGACCACTGAAAAAGCCTCAGGCATTATTAACATTAATTGTAGCTGAAGAAGCTACGTGGACACTGATTTAGTGCATCTGTGTGGGACCAAAGTCAGCACAGTATAAATAGTCAACTCCCTAGGACACCTTCCCTATAGAAAGTCTTTTACTAGGAAAGCCACCCTATAAAATTGATAGAGACAACTGACTTAGCAGATTTAGTTCATCTTCAATTTCATTGATCAAACAGGAGCAGCTGATCTCTTTGTTTGTGTTCTCCACTGTCTTGCTAAACAAGAGAGAGTACTTCATTGACTCAGTCACAGGAGCTATATGGCTCAGCTGAGTCATGTTCGTTTAAAACACAGCTCAGTGGCTCCTGAGGTATTCCTTTCAAACCTTTCTCACTCAGTGCCTTCCAGGCGAGTTCTTGATTTCCACGTCCTTAGCCCTCTGTGTATCCTCAAAACCACTGTGCTGTTTAAGTTGGAATCATAACATGACATAAATCTCATTCCAATTAAGAAGCTTACCATTGACTTCTTCCATTCCCTAAATCCTTTTATTAAAATCCTTCACTAACAAGAGGCTGTATGGACGAGCAGCAGACAAGGCATATTTCTCCAGAAGAAGCTGAGGTGAAGCAAGATGGTGTGAACCAGCATGGAGTTCTCTTCCATTTTGAATTCTTCTCATTGGGAAGAATTCAGCCAAGAGGTGGTTGAAACAAGGGTTTACTTAGGAGAGTGGGACAAAACTGCAGAGACCAGGAGTGGGCCAACCCAGGGCAGGTGCTGTATTATAGGATTACACAATTTTGCATTTTTTTTTTTTGTTTGCTTTGAGACAAAGTCTCATTATTCCCTGGATGAACTTGAACAGTTGTTCCTTAGCTTTTGCCTCTTTCATCTCATGGCTGTGGGTATTGTCTCCATGGCAAGCCTTGTAGTGTGGATTTAAGGCGTGTCTGATGGTCCCTGCTGTCTGATGATGTCAATATTAGGTTCCTCACCGTGCAGTACTGCTTTAGTTTTGTACCCCACTTTTGCTCAGGTGCCAGCCTGCCAATTTTATTACTTCCTCCCAAGAATACTTAAATGAAACTTGGATGAAGGTATGCAAAAACTGCTCTGCTAATGAAATGACAATAATGACTTAATGAGCATGACATCGTTCTTCCTTACTGTACATAATTTGGGACAGGAAAGTTCCTGCAATTTTCTTTTCCTTTCCTTTTCTTTCTTTCTTTTTTTTTCTCCTCCTCTGTTTATCAGGATGTTCATTCATGCACATATGGAAAGTGCCCCATTGCTTTTGCCTTGGTTTCTGATATAGCAGAGGGCCTAATTGTAGTTTCCAGGACATATATCCACAAAGGGACTTTTTAACCATCTGGAGGCACAGCTACCAAAATATAACTATGCCTTCCTTTGTTACCTCCTGCCCAAATTCTTGCCTAGCCAGTTAGATCTAGCTACAGAAGAGGCAGACCCAGGGAGTGTTTGGGTGAGGAGTGGGTATGTCCTTCTTACCCTGGCCCCACACAACCTGCTTTGCTGCTGCTCATCTATACCTAGCTACCTTCTCTAACTGACACAGGGTAGTTAGACGAAGGGCAAATTCCAAACCAGTGCTTCATCTGCAGTGAGCATAGTGGAAGTTCTGTTCTAGTGCCATAGTGAAGGAATGAGTAAATTCTATAAAGCTGACAAACATCAAAAGCAAGGAGACACTGATCTGCTCTGTACTATAGCCACGAGTCAGAAATTCTAATATCAGCAGTAAAATATTCCTGTACCGGTTTGTGTCCCAGTACTTACAAATGCACAGTTCTGGTCTTGGTTTTATAATGGTTCCTTTTTGTAAAATTGTTCCTGTTAAATTATGTGACCTCTCTTCTTGAGTCCTGGGTTTTTCTGCCACTTTATTCTGTAACATTTTTTTTTTTCTTTGCTTGGTTTCTCATCTGAATGAAGAAGCCTGGAATTGACACCTTTCAAATAGTATGGAGTCTTTCCTCTAACAGGGAGTACAATGATGACAACAATGACAATGGAATAAGTATTGGTGTGTGATGAAAAATGACACAGAAAGGAGTCTTGCTGTCATTCACACTATGTAGAATCAATGGCACTTTGCAGTCAATTCACATATATAAACACACTCTCTCCATTGGGTGCTGCTGAGCTCTGTGGCAATTGTTTGCTTTAGCTATAATTGTACTCAATTCTTAGAAATAGAATAATCACTTTCTACAAGCTTTTGAGGCCACTTTGCCTTTACAACATTTCTTTGCCAAAAGAACATCCCCATAATCAATTTTTATGTACCAGGCACCAACCTGACTTGAATTGTTTAAGTGATTATGTATACAGAGAATATAGCTGAGCACTCAATTCTATATTTCAGCTTCTAGACCTTGAAAGATAAATATTGACTATACCAAGGACTTTTTGTCTGGATAGTTTTATTCTTTAGAATAGGTATCACCTTGCAATACACACCACCAGTTTCAATGAAAGTTTGCGGTGAACCTATGCCATTGTCATTTATAATCCAGTTTTCTGTTTGATGCTGGGGCTATTCATTGTACATCTGCAACTTACTCTATAGGGCTTGGAAAGCTGGCACTAAAATATGTAGCATTGCTACTTTAGGAAGTTCTCCACTGAAAGAGATTGGGTGAGACTAAGATATCAAGAGGAAGAAATGAGAGAGAGAGAGAGAGAGAGAGAGAGAGAGAGAGAAATCAAGAGCAAAAGTGAGACTGAGATTTTACTGGTGAGACAGGACTTGATCTATGTGCTTTTAAGCTTTATTTTGCATCCCAGACACTATCTTTTGCTAAACACCCCTAATAATTTCTATAAATAGGAAGTAACAACTTTAGAAGGCAACAAAAATGATCTTTTTCAACTCTTTATTAGATGTTTCAACCCCCTTTTTAGTGACACTGTATTTCTCTAGCTTCTGCTTGAATATGTTCAGTCATGTGGGTATTTTTATAATATATGTCTCATTTAACTGCTTTTTGGTATTCCATGTATTCATTTAACAATATGGTAGTTTCTTTAGTTCTCACAATTCTTCTTTTCTTTTTCTTTTTTTTTTTTTTGACAAAATAAGGGAGCAGGAAATAAATGTCCCATTTGCTTGAAGGCAAAGGTCATTGGCCTCTCATTTATCCCATACATGTTTCTTATCCTTACGTTATAAGAAAAGGCAGGAATTCTGGAGAGATGAACATTTTGAATCTGGGCTTCAGGGGCATTTTGAAGTGTAGGACCTAGACACAGTATACTTTCCTCCCAGAACCTTCCTCTGTCCATTGCTTTGCATTTCCCCCCTATTTCTGGTTTGACAAATAGCCGTTGTCAAGGGCAGGCAGTGGCTGTTGCTGTTTTTGTGAATGGGTGTGCACGTGTCTATAGGGGGATTGCAAAAAAAGAGGAGAAAAGACATAGTCAACTAATTCTTTCTCAAATTGTGCTGCTTCTGCTAACCTTCCCCTGTTTTCGAATCCTAAGTACACAGAACAGCAAGATCAAGTCTCTGATTCTAGATACTCAACTGCCACTCATAAGTGATGGTCTCAAGGCATCTCTTTACACCAGGCGGTTCCAGCTGAGAGACAGAAGTCTCCAAGAGCGATGTCTCATTGTTCACCCTCAGTTTAGACCGTACGTTTCCCATCCCCATGGCTCCTCATGGAAAAGGCTTAAGGAACACTCCTCAATTTATAGAAAGCAGACAGGACAGTGGTTGACCTTTTATGGAATGTAAGGAGTGACATTGGAATCGGAGGCCCTGGGAGTCAACAAGACAGGACAGCATAAGCGGTAACGGATTCCTTCTTGCTGAACATCCCATGCCATTAGGGGAAGAAATCCCAGCTATATCAGCCTCATTAAGACTTTTAGCAAATTCTTCTTTCTTCAGCTCCCCTTCCCTTGACTATAAGATGAGCAGGTGGGATTGCGGTGGACCCTAAAGCTCTTTTCAGCTCTCTATGGTTTGGGAAGCTTGACATCACATTTAAAAAGTTCTAAATCAGATGTGAGCAGAGGGCGGAGGAAGAGAGACTGTCGTTATTAGATTGTTTGTAGGTAGGAGAATCCCGCCTGCGGAGGGAGGCTGCAGAAGCAGGGGCCGCTGGGCAAAGTGCGCGGGCTGCCTTCTGGGCCACCCTCTCGCCGCCAAAGCCACGGCTTCCAAACTCCTGCGCGCGGTCATCCTCGGGTATGGCAGAGGATCGCTCAGAACTTTGGCCTCCAGCGTCTCTCCAGTGGCCACTTCTTGCGTGAGAATCTCAACGCCAGCACGGAAGTTGGTCACGACGCAAAGCGGTGCCTAGAAAAAGGTCTTCTGGGTCCAGATCACGTGATCACACCTCTGATGATGTCAGAACTGGAGACCCGGAGTGCCCAGCACTGGCTGTTAGATGGGTTCCCGAGGACATTAGTGCAAGGAGAAGCCCTGGACAGAATCTGTGATGTGGACCTAGTGATCAGTTTGAAAATCCCTTTCGAGACACTTGAAGATCATCCGAGCCAACGGTGGATTCACCCTTCCAGCGGGAGGGTCTACAACCTGGACTTCAGCCCGCCTCAAGTGCTGGGGATCGACGACATCACTGGCGAGGCACTTGTCCAACAGGAGGATGACAGACCTGAAGCCATTGCTGCCAGGCCACAACGGTACAAGGATGCAGCAGAACTGGTCATCGAGCTGTACAAGAGCCGTGGAGTCCTCCACCAGTTTTCTGGGTCAGAGACTAACAGAATCTGGCCTCATGTTTACTCACTTTTCTCGAACAAGATTGCACCCATTCAATCCAAAGAAGCACACCGAGCCTGCCATTGGAAGAGCCAAGGAGGCGTCATCGGTCACTCAGCCGTGCGTGGCCTCTTGGTTCCCTGGCCAAATGAGGAGCTAGCTGAGATAGCTTGCAGCGTCTTTTCTAGTTTATGTGATGAAGTGATGAGGAAAATCTAGAGGGTAGGAAGGATTCATGAAGAAAGAAACCCTCCTCTGCAGCTGCGTCACACCCCTCGCAGGAAAGCAAGGGCAGACTGGATTTCCACCGGCGTTGAGCCTACACTCTGCACGGGCTGACAGCCATGTGCTTGCATAGCCTTTTTGCATGCAACAGTGGGCTTTCTGGCTTATGCCACCTTCCACAGGCTATTAAGCCACAGCACCGTCAGCCTGAGAACGTGAAGGCGCGCGGTCGTGGCTTGTCCACCGCCATACCCTCTGATGACAACTGAATTGACGCTGATTGCACTCAATGGCTGCTTTCTTCCTCCGATCTCGATCTCAGAAATCCTAGATCCTGTTGACTGTATCTCATCCGCTTGCTCCCTTCCCAGGCTATTCAGTAACATGGTAGTTTCCGCATTCACCCTTCTAACTTCTGAGAACTAGGTGACTAGATCCAGTCCCTTCCTTCATAGTGGGAACTTAGCTGGGCGGAAGGCTTCCTTTGCTAAACAGCTGCTCTGACTGTCTTGAGCCCACTCCGTACCTTTTATTGTTTTAAGAAAGAAGGAGAGGAGGACCTCCCCTATCAGTGGACTTGGGGAGGGGCATGTATGCAGAAAAGGG